GTAAAGAGAAAATAAAGAGAAAGTAACTAAGCTGATGTCCTGTCCGTTCGTTCACCATAAAAATACGCTACAGTAAATTAAAACTAAATTAAAACATCACTAAAAAATTTTTGCCCCCTCCCCCCTGGGTAGTTAATAAATTTTTTTGTCCCCCCCCCCCCCCGGAGAGTTAATCGATTTTTTTTTGCCCCCTCCCCCTAGAAAGTTTTCTGCGGGCGCCATGCCTCGAGACCAATGATGGGCGGGCAAGGCTAGGAAGGGTTTGCCTGCGTCTTGCTTGCTCTGGCGTATCTATATATAGCCTGAATCGTCGTCCTCTTGCTTCTTCAAACTTCTTGCCCAAGTTTCGCTGGCGAATTATATATATAGATAGATTTATACTACATAATTCTGACAGACTAGTAAAAAAAAAATAATACTAAAATGTGTCACGGGTTTTCACCGCTGTTTGGTTGCCAAAATATGGGCCACGCCCCTTGACGTCACCATGGGATGCAACGTTGTCCTTGGGCGGGGCTATGATGGGAAAGGGGCAATCCTTTAGAGTTGATAGAAATTTAATATTTAAAAAAATTAATCTCTATCTCTAAGACTAAGAAGTGTTTTGTTAGAGTTAGAAATTGATCAGTGGCGTGGCTAGGGATAGTGTTGACCAGGGCGGACCGAGAATTTGGCGTTCTATTCAACGGAGAAAAAAAAACCCCGCTGCAGTTAGCCCGTCACATTAGGAAAAAAAGTCCCGACCAGGGCGGACTGCCCATCCTTCCTACGCCGATGAATGAGACAAGACCGGTAATTATACAACTTTAATGCGCCTGGTGGATACCTACATTTTGCAAGGGCGCCGAAAATTTCTAGGACCCATTGAGTGATTGACGTAGCCGAACAAATCAACTAAATACCGCACGTCACACAAACAATCACAAAAGGGCACACCCCCCTCCTCCCCCCCTTATGGACTGTCAACTGACGGAATAATTTTTGCTAAATTATTTTGTGGGAATGAATGTACGGACCGGGTATTTTGTACCGATCCCCCCCCCACCCCCTCCCGATCGTACGTACTCTGGTGACCCTTCACATCTACCCCCTTCTTTTTGCTATGTGATCATTTAAAAAGTTTGTCCAAGTTGTACTTGTAGGGTTCAGTTTAAGTATATAATATCATCTACGTTATATATTTTTTAAAAAGGAAGCAATGCCATTTCTGTTTATCTGGAGGTACCCGGGAGAGAAGATCACACCCTTAGCTTTAACGGGCGGTTCTAATCTTTAAGGACCGTGCACATGTAAATTATTATTACCGGTACCGTATATAGTCTAATTCTAATGTAAATATAGAGTGAAAGGGTAGGGGTGGTTTATCCTTTCGTTATAATATATGGTAGGGATGTGGAAGAAGGCAATGGAAATCTTATTACTATAAAATTAAAATAATATTATATTAACATTTTCAATTCCTTTCTTTTGGTTTCTTATGAAATAGCCTAGATAAAAAAATTGTAAAAATTGAAAAACCAACAGTACTCTACAAGTACGGTATGTATTTTGTGCTTACAAGTGTTAGTGTTAGCACATTGAGTCCCGGACTACTACTTTTGGCTTGTTTTTAGATATTTTTGGATTTAAGTTTTTAATGGGAAAAGGGGGGGGGGGGCGGACGACGACATAAAAATTTATAGATGGAAAGGGGGGGGGGGGTCAAATGAAATATATTATGGGTAGGTTTGGAAAAAAAAAAGTTACATTTTTAGATGAATAGGTAATTACAATACACGTGTATCGCCCCGTCCCAAAGTGACCCCAAAGATGAACATTTTCTTAAATGGCTCCTCAGTCAACGGGAAACTTGTTTTCGTCCTCCGTGGAAGTAGTGCCGTTTACGATACACCCGGTAACTGGTAACCTTATGACACTCTGTACCGGCATATTTTAATACAAAACCGGGGAATAACTTATAATTATAGCACCGATATGGATGTTAATAGTAATAAGGCAGCAAAACCAAATAATTCATTAACTTTCGTTTTCGTAAGTTTTTATGTAACTTCCCATGACGAGGTCATGTTCCTCCAGGTATTCTTACACCACAGAACAAAGAAGAGGCAGGTGAGATTAAAAAGTATATAGAATAAATCATTTAAATTGCCGAGGTACTCACTACATTATTATATATGCCGGTAATATAACTAAAACTCAGTTGAGATTATGAATGACGACAGTGACCTAGTCTGAAGATAGCAATCCTCAAGATGAAAAAAAAAAAATCAGAGTGATGTAACAACTTATGATTAAAACATTTATTGCAGAAGAGTACAGAAGAAATAAAAACTGGAACAATGAAGTACAATGGATGAATACCAGGTCTTACAGCCCTTTCAAATTAATAAAAAAAAAAAACCACTGGACTTAAATTAAACGTATAAATTTTGAGGAGACAACACAAATTTCTGTACGTTATTTCTACCACAGGGTTTCCCAACATTTTCTAAAATCTGCATCCCTACTACAAGAAAGATTTTGACCGGTCTAGCAATAAATTTGAAAATAAATTGAATAATTTTTAAATTTCAAAGAGAACTGTAGAAACTGTGACTCATTAAAAGTTATTACTCAGTACAATATTCATAATAAAAGAGCCATCCTTATCCTTTTAATAATAAAAAAAAAAAAATCACTTTTCCACCTGCACCCTATGGATGTAGGGAGTGCTGGGAAACCCTGTCTTACCCTAAAAAGTTACGTAGACACTATAACTTAGTATCAATAGTACAGTACAGAAGTGGTATCCTAACCTATGACATGAAAGATAATTTATTTTATTATTGTATGTCTTTGATTTTATGACAATATGAAAGTTCAACTTTTTAATCAGCCCCAATTGATACATTAGAAAAGTCTGCTTTGTCCCCCAAATAATCTGAATATTTGAAAACATACCGGTAACAAAACAAATAGTAATACATTTGAATGGACTCTTAGCCAGTTAACAATAAAACATGACAACTAGAATACTAATGAATGATTGTATCACAGATATTTTGTCTTTGTTGTGTGAACATTGTAAACAAGTCTCATGATTTGCTGAGAAGTATCAGGACCAGTTGATTGTCCACACCAGCTACACCGAGCACCTTTGGAAATGACCACACTTAAACAATATCAAGAGGACATCATAACTTTTATAAGAGTACTTACGCATAAACCAAATTTACTTATGTAGAATTCATTCTTAGACTTCAGAGCCTCAGAATGTAAATTATTGTTAAAAAAAATAAAAATGTAATAAATTAAAATATACCTTTTTTTGTTAATTACTCCCCTTGCGTAAGACACAGCAAGTGTTTTAAAAAATTAAATTGTGTCCCTTTAAAATGGACCAGCACCACTAGTAGTAGCAGTAGTTATTTGAAGACTTGTGTCTAAACATTTTCAAGTGTGGTTGACTGGTAGGAGCCACAACTAAAATAATTGCAGTTAAAAACAGTCACAATCTCACTGTTTGATTTTCTAGCTCAATTACTAATTTAAATGCAGGCTTCAGCAAAGCATACATTAATTTTGCTACAATAAATGGATTATTCATATTGTAATGCATTGTGTGCCTTGTTCTGCTTAAAACACATTTTCAGATTTATTTTTTTAAAAACATCCCAAGCTTACAATACAATAGGACCCTACACAGCAATTAATTTGGATAAAGTTTAAAGAAAAACATATCCCCCTCCTTTCCACTCCAGATCTGAATCATGAATTTCACAGAGCATCAGAGAAAAACACATTGAGTCACTTCATCCTCACCTAGGGTCACCTCCAAAGAATCAGGAAGACCTTATCAGGCCCCCAAAGGCACAGCTGAACTTGGAAATAATGCATACCAAGCTAGGGCATTGCTTTTAAGAGAAAACACCACTTTGGACTGGTGGAAAAAGCTGAAATATACCCAAGTTATATCTGGATGAACTGATGTGCAAAACATCTACGCTAGGTATGGTCAGCACAGTCAGAGAAACCAAATATACTAACAGTATGTTTGCATGCTCTGGAGTTTGTAATTTTTGTTCATCACTGGCCCTTGTTTATCAGCTGTATGTGTTTTTGTTGCTGAATTTATTGTTCAGTTTTGTGTTGTTACAATTATGAATAGTTTGGATAAATTTTTCTAAATCCTGAACCAGAGTCTTCCGCTTGAACCTCTGTGCCTCGTAAATGATGTCTTTCACGAACTCTGCCTGGACTTTAAAACTTCCCTGTACGGTATTTAACAGCTGAAATAACCTGTCAAAATCTGGCGAAAAAAGATGACAAAGAAAGGGAAAACATAATTAAATTAACTTTACATAGTAGCGCTAATTCCATTTTATTGACATAATTGGAATCGGTATTAAAAACCCTCTAATTGCTAAAATGGATAATTCTCCCTCTCCCGGGAAACAGGGTGATGTTAAATGCAGAAGGGAATAGTGATTAAACTTTTTTTCATCACCCAGGAAACTTTGTACTGGTAGCATTAAAAAAAATGGAATGTATCGAAAATGTATTTACCCTGTAACAATTATTTGGGTAGTATAACCATATCATTGGGAACAATAGCCTAAACCACAAGGATTATTCTCTTTGCACTTTGTGGTCTTATAAGTAGTAAAAATAAATGTATTAGAATGTTTTAAAAAAACCTAAAAGCTAGCAAAATTTATCCACTTCGTCTACAGTATTCCCACGAAATGGGGAAAGCACAATTTAAATGCCTCTCATAAAGGGAATAACACATTTTAGCACCATACATTTATAATAATCGAAATACAGTCCCATGATAAAGAGTCTATGTTTGCAAAACGTTTTTTCCAATCAAGATAAATTAAGTAGGGCAATGGCAATTATTAAATTAATTTAAAAGTTCAGTATATAATAAATAGCGTCTTTACTTACTTCTTCCTGGCCTTTTAACTTCTTTGTTTATCATTAGTTTCAGATGTCTGTTAAAACTCCAAACCTGCAACTCTTTCTTGTCTCCAATAAGGGCATCTGCTAATGTGTCCAAAAGTCGGCTGTCATTCACACTCTCATGCACAGTGGTGTGATCAGAAATGCCATTTTCACTATGAGAACTAGAGTTATTTTGAGATGGGGATGTCATGTGATTATATACGGAAGCATTTTCCTCACCATCACTGCCCAAGCTACTCGTGTCATCATCAGAGTCTGTAATTATCTGTAATGGTGTTTCATCTAACAGGGAGACAGACAGAGACCGAGAGGGGAAGGGGGAAATCCATGTGAGATGTGGAGAGATGAAAAATCAAATTCAGATTGATTTTAATTGATGGATATGGTTTTGAAATAGGTTACTTACAATACTGTTGCCATAGCTTAAATTCTAAAAGTAAGTCAAATTTATTAGACAAGAACAAAATAAAATCAAGAACTGTAAAAGAAAAAACAGCTTGAAAATTCTGGGACACTAGATTTGCAAATAGGTTGTTATTAAATATCTGATGAACTTTTGTATTAAAAAAAAACTGTTTAATTTTAACAATTTACTAAAAGAGCAGCCGTAGTAAGTAGAGCAAAACAAACAAAAATGATGGTACCTTCCTCTGGTGTGGAATGTATACTTACCTGACTCAAATTCGGAATCCGAAACTGTAGATGGTGCTGGACTGGATGGCGGTGTAATCGATGAGGTAGACGGTCGACGGTATGGTAAATCACGTGGCAGTGGACCTGTTAAATAGGTAATGTTTCCATTAATTTCTTGATACAGCAGCTAAAATTATTAAGGAGCTCTATTTTAAAATTTTAAACATTCTGACAATAAAATAAATGTATCACAAGAACATGTTTGAAACACCAAGTTTGAACTACCAGTACCAGTACTAAAGATATAATTAAAATCCTACAGCACTATAGAATATTTTAATAATTTAAGACAATAAATTCATATCAATATTTACCTGGCTTTCTTTTACGATGAGGAGAATTAGGTGGACTTTCTGAAGCAGTTCTTTTCCTGGGGGAATTACCTATCACAATGGCTTCCTCAGCTTCATCAACGGTAAGCTAGGTAATGGAAAGTTAAAGATAACTTCTTTCATCTTGATTACATCATAGCAAATACACTCCTCTAGTTACAGGTATTTAAAAAAAGGAAGACTCCATTAGAAAAATAAAATAAGAATTTTCCAAATTTTATTTGAATGAAGCAAAAAAAAATTCAATCTACAAAGGTCTGCAGTGGCACTGAAATCAGCTACCTTATTCTGATTTCCAAGCCCTTAAGATAATACTTTGTTGAAACAAACCTGTTTGTTGACTTTGAAAGGATTACCAAACATATGCATTCTTGTAGGTGTGCTCTCCAGCTCTCTCAATGCAGGCGGTTGTTTCTTGAGTACTTCCTGGTAGTTGCCCATCTGACTGATAGCTACTCTGTGCCTTTCATCTATAGGCAAGATTTTCATTTAAGATATTTAGGAATGGTGAATTTCAACTTTAAATAGTTATAAAGTTACAATGTTGCAAAGTTCCATTAATTCAAATTTTTTATCGAGTTTAAAAATGATTTGATTTCTTTGTTATATCCCATGCAGGTATCCCAAAAATGACACCACTTAAAATAAAAATAAAAACTTGCAAAGACATAATAAAGTTTTCAGTCATACCTAGATCAATGAGAGATTCTGAATTGATTGAAGTCCTGAGGAAATTATTTTTCATTCTGCTAATTTGATCAATGAGGCTTTTGCGAGGTATGTCGTAAGGATTTCTGGAAGGTTAAAATTTATTGCAACTAAAAATGAATATTTCAATTAAATTATGTCAATGTCTTAAAAAAAAGTAAAATCTCAATACAGTATAAATATGTGACAGCGAATATCACGTTATTAATGACAGAAGTGGCTTAGCCCCTAACAAGTGTTCAAACTTGAAAATATGTTAAGACCTCACCTGTAGAACTGTGGCTTGATGTCTGGATCCTCAACCGCTAATGTAAAACCACTATAGTCCTGCTGTAGCTCTTGTTTTAATCCCGCCATGTTTCCCCCTAGGTTAGCCAATAATTGGTGGAAATCTTTTCTCTGTAAAATTGATGTTTTGCTCCTGGAAGAGAAAGAAAATGTATGAAACATAATAACACGCCTTTGAATTAAAATTGTGAAATTAATGTAAAGTAAAAAATATTTTTACAAATCCAGCACATTGGTAACTAACCTGGTGTTTACTCTTATTCCTTCATGTCTGGTAGGTTTTTGTCCAATGGAAGCATTGAGTCTATCCATCTCTATCCTCGCCTAAAACAAAGATAATCTTCATTTGACATCACCAAATCAAGTTTAGAAAGAAACGGAAAGCAAAAGATCAAATATAAATGGATTAAGGAGTTGAAGTACTATTAAAAGTCATTGTAATAAGAAAAAAAAAAGACAAAAAAAACCAAAAACAACGTATTAATGAATATTGATCTTTACCTGATTTTTCAACTTTTTGAGGTATGTAATGACACTGTAGCTAAGGCAATTGTCCATGTTATCAGACACTAAGTTTGGTGCACCCATTCTAACTAAAGCTCGTCGCAGATTCTGCAGGAAAAAAAAAAGTTATCAAAACAGAAACCAAACAAATACACAGTGATGCAAATATACCTTTCTAAGATCTAGTGGAAGCAACATTCAAAGTCACAGGTACAAGTTTTTTAAAATTAACAAATTATTTTCACAAAGTTTCATCCAAATCTCCCCATAAGTAAAAGAGCCACAATTACTGACCGGGGCATAGTATCCTGGCATAGTTTTTAAGTAGTTCTCAAATCTTTGCCTCCATTGCTGATTTGGCTTTAAATTGTGGATTTTAAACAATTCATCTGAATGAAGAAAAAAAATAATTATACAATTTATGATGGCAATAATCTTTATAATTTAATATTAAAAGATGTTAGGGAATAAAATTGGTCTAAATATGCATATATACTACTTTGATAATAAAAATGTATTTAACCTAACTACAAACACTTCTTTAGAACTGAATATGAGGAATGCTATTCACAATTTACCTAGCAATGGCAATAACACAGGATAATTGTAAGGCATCACAAAGAGGTTCACTGTAGTAAGGGTACTGCTGGCTTTCAAATATCCAAATGGGTGGCACATGTCACTAATCTTAGAGCTGTTGGCCACAAATACCTGATAATAAAGGACAGAAAATTTAATTTGAAAAAAGCACACAAAAAACCCCCTACAAATAGGAAACATAATGGGCAGAATTTCAGTGTTACTAATCTTTACAAAAGGGCATGCTTTAAGATTACCTGCCAACACGTGTTTGGCTGTCTTCGCTCTAAAATGAACTGTGTCAGTGGTGAAGGCTCTAACTCATACTTGTCAAAAGGAAGGTTTTCTATCACGAGAGGATCAGACAGCTGGCAGGAGAACTGAACCACTGGGTGGGCAGTTCGAGGTGGCTGGCCGAGAAGAAAAACAATATCAATTATAACAACACTTACAGTTAAAGTGATGTACAACACATTAATTGACTTTTATGATAAACACACGACTCTTTGACAATTTTCTCAGTTTGCTAGTAATTACTATACCTTTTCAAGACAATAATATCAATACAATGAAATGGTTTTTTATGCCTGCTTTTTAACTCATTCCCGACGTTTGCGATTAATGCGTCTTTTACGGATTTCGTCAGATGCATCCAAATGCGCCCCGCGCATAGAGACATACCTATCTCATATCTATTTAAAAATAGCAATGAAATCTTGCATCCCTCGAGACTTCCGGCGATGGCGTGGTTCAACGTGATTTTAAGTTAAAAACCGGAAGTTTTTATCTTGTTTCACTTTAAAACTACCTTTAAAACTAAGTGTGCTTTAGTACGGCGCGTTAATATGTAGCATTTGTCCGAGGTGCCGAAAATCGATTTTTTGGCCATTGTTCGTTATTTCCCCCCCGCTAATGTTATATTTTATATTAAACCTTATTCATTCTTTGATGCATTTGTTCTTAATTCGTTAACATTAAATAATATTTAGTAGCTTAAATACATATTTAAAAAATGTAAACGGGGTTACTTCCCTTTCTCAGGCAAATAAATACGCAAGTAGCACTGCAGGAGGGAATGAGTTAATTAATTTTCTAGCTTTCAAAGCTTTCGCTAATCTTCCTTTAATTCCTTACCAAAGTAGGGCTTGTAATATCTGGCCAGTATCCTTCTGGAATAGGCCAATGGCCAGTACAGTGTCCTTTCTGGGCAGAGCGCGGCACATATATAAGCCTGCGACAGCTGTGCCATGCCAGATTCTGCTGCTGATGTCCATTACTGCTTTGAAGACCCATAAGTTTTTTATCCTCATCATCCAGGTGGATAGGTTTGTTTGTATCCAGATTTTCTATGAAGGTACAAAAAATATTAAGGAATTAAATTAGAGTTAGAGAGCATTGTGGATAATCTTACAATGTAAAGTTTATTAATGGAGCCTCAAAAGTTAGTTGCTTTTGTCTGTTTTTTCCACCTACATCAATCACACATTTACTCAAGAACTATTACAAGTAACTACATGAGATTGCAGGAAGTACCTTTAGCATTGCCATTAGCATCAGATTCCATCCTCATGGCATCTGTTATTGGTGGTGGGTCAGGACCAAACTTTTCAAAATTTATAACCACACCACACTGAACCTTCTGGACCAAGGATTCTATGGCTGCATTCATCATTTTCTGACTGTAAACAGCATAAGACCGACCTATGATTACAGAATTAAGGAATGGTGAATGCATTTACAGCTTTACAAAAACATTTAAAATTTACCAGTGGAAATTCTGAGGTGGTGTAAAATTATTTAAATTTAAAGGTAAATTGAAGTGACATGAAAAATCCACAAATTTGATAATAGTAAGGTTCTATAAATAATATTTCACATACCTCCAGTAACTTCACACATAACATCAATAGCAGTGTTCTCAGCAGAGGGGATAAATGGAAAAGCAGATACATCTGGTGGTACACTAGCTGGTAGTCTCATGACTAAACTAAAAATTCGCTGATCCCAACGGAATGGCTCTTTTGTCAATTCTGCACCAGGCACTACTGAGTTCATCGGAAGATTCAACTAAATAAAAAGATTATACCAAATTAATTGAATTCAGGTTCAGTGTGATAAAACAAGTATTGAAATTTACTAATACTAAATCTCATCTTCTTACTTTCTTACCTCTGACTGTACACCATTAGGTGTTGTTAGATGGCTTACTTTCTTACCTCTGACTGTACACCATTAGGTGTTGTTAGGTGGCCACCATCAGTTATCACTATGATAATTGTGGACTCATTATAAAATGGACTCCGGCCCTATTGGAAATAATAAATTATTTGTCATCAAAGAAATATTTTAATAAATTCAATTCATGTGGTTAACTAAGATCTGGATTATGATTACGGGTATGTCAAAATAAATATATAATAAATAATTATAATTGTAACAAATTGTATTCTATGTTTTATAAATATTAGGGCTGAGCCTAGAGCAGTTTTCTTACCCCTGGATAGGGTAATTGAGACAATATCCAGGAGGTCTGTGTCCAGGTATTTAAAAAAAAAAAAGAGTTAACTTCTATAATGTGTTCTAATTTCTACCCAATGTGAGAAAGTAAAAAGTGCATGCATAGAACCAGTAGCGATCACAAAGGTATCAGTGTTGGAGGATTAAAAACACTAACAGTAACAGCTAAATAATATAATCCTAACCCAGCCGTTCTCTAGCTTTTAAATGTCATGAGCCCTTTATAACATTTGCCAAGTTGTGGCAAACCACAACCAGAATTAGTGCATACCTTGAAATTGGGTGTTGGGGTGAGGGGGGGGGGGGGCAGAGCTTTTTTTCAAAAGTAGTAGTACCAGTAAAATCAAAAAGGAGTTGGTACTTAAGTTTTGATCGGAGGTGGAAGGAAGCAGAATTAAGGTCTAAGAAGTTTGGAGAGTTTTGTAGAGGAGACTCTGTAACCCAGTCCCCAGAAATTTGACACCTGGCTATAGTTTTGCATGGAAGCTCCTAACTTGTAAGTTTAGGCAATTTAGGGGGAAATAAATGAAAAGAAAATGAACTGCTAGTTATATTTATATTTTATTTAATGTAGTGTAGACAGAGTAAATGTGTAGTNAAAAAGAAAATTCAAATTAACCCCCCCCCCCCTCCCGAAATTCCCAAGGGAACCCTTGCATTTTGTTGGGTATCCCCCCCCCCCCCCGAGGATTGTTACCCAGTTTGAGAACGACTGCCCTAATCCATAAACAATAAACATAGAGCTGGGTTTTAGTTATGTGCCCTAGTGTTGCTGCAGGCAGTTTTCACTTTTTTGATACCATTATATGCATAGTATATTAGAAATGATTCACACAAACAAAAATATTGGCTACTCAGGATCATCAGCCACTCATCATGTGAAATTAAGTATTTTCTGTTATTTAATTCAGGTAAAATGTGCCAAAAAAAGAATGTAAAAAAGATATACTAATTCTATTTGTGCACTTTTCATTTTATTGGGTGGAAAAAAAAACCAAAAGATAACTTTTTATTTTACCAACCGGACCCAGTTCCTTTTATTATATTTGTTGTTGCCAGGTCTGGGTATGTGAATACTTGATGTTTCCAGGTATCCGGGTCAGCACTACTAAATTTACTTAAATTTCTTGTAAAACTGGCTGCAAAAATCAGTAAGAATGTAACAATTTCATCTACCTGTCCATATGTATCAATACCACTTGTCATTCTATTTAAATTAAGCAAATCAAAAGCATGTTTTAAAGAAGGTCCAAGTGTTGACAAGCCAGCTGCCCTCAAATTCTTCAGCTCTGAAGCAAATGTTAAATGACTTTCTTTCCAACCAGCCTAGATGGATAAATAAATTGCATGGAGAAATTCAAATTTCATAAAAATGTAAAAGTAAAATGACAACACCCATAAGGTTACTATTATTACTATTAATAAAATTAATACTAACATTAAAATTATTATTATGTTATTAATATCTGATGCTTTTTTATGATCCACCATAACAAATCATTTAACTGTAGCTGTAGCACTTTTTACATTCTACAGATTTGTGCTGATCAGGTTCAATTTCTTTATCAGAAAAGCTGAGTGGCAGAGGTTACAGTAATCATTAGTCAATTAGTCATTCATTGGTAGTACCAGTACAATCTTGGCCTGACTTATTAATTTTAATTAATTCATTAATTGGTCTACTTTTATTGACTATAAATAAGATTAGAATTAGTATTGGCCTGTTTATTAACTGCACTTTAAAAAATCAACTAATTTTCGTTCACCTTTTAATGTTCATCAGGAGTTCTCAATATTTATTTCAAATTAACAATGCTCAATGAAACGATAGTAACATAACTACATTTTTCTTTATGTTTTGTTGACCTGTAAACTATGACCTGACCTATTAACTTGACCTCTCGTTGCTGGGTCAACATTTAACCCTTCCCAGCATCCACTTCGCTATTGAGGGCAAAATGGCGACGACCATGGTAAACTGACAAATTTCTTGTAATATTTGTCATTTATTCGACTATATAATGCAAATATTTGGGAAATAATAAAGCCTTTCACACAGTTTCGAAATAAAGTACCCAAACGTTTATAAAGAGGCGCCGGAATTTAGCCAATGCTTCGTTTTACCTTTACATTCGCTGGTGGATCTTCGAAAGTCAGGAGCATGTAACGGTCCCATCGACTGCTCCCATCGCGGGATCGGCTCTAAAAAGAAAAGAAAAAAAATGTTTCACTGACCTGATTTTTTTTTTAAAAGTTAACATACTTTTTTTTAAAAAAAATTACCAAAAGATAGTGTTGATCTTTCATTGTTTTGATTCTTATGTTTTTGTTTACCTTCATAAAATTTTCAACTGCTGCTTTCGCTACATCAATCAATGCCGTTCCCAAATAAGTACGTTGGTTCATAGACGCACTAGTGTCTACAAGAAAGAGAATGATAGTCATTACGGCCAATAAAAGTACACTATTATGACCCCTAAAATGGTACCGACCGCGTACAACAGCGGATTTTTCGCAAAAATGCGACGATACCCTCCCTCATAGACTCACGCAGCTCGACTGACTGCTTGAAGTAGCAGCCAGCACGCCACGAAATTTGCACACGTGACCTCGTAGCAAAAATTGTTTTCATTGGCCGATATTCTGAGCGGGGAGTAGCTTGTTGTTGCAGTATACTATAGTTTGACTGTGACAACGAAATCTCTTTTTATCTGAACTACGTATATGAAGAGGCATAGTCATAAACATAATATATGTTTATAATAATATTGATAATCATTTGAAATTTTTTTTTTATACTGAATCGAGCGACTTGGTTATACTTGGAAAAGGAGACGGATCCCGGCATATCAATCAGGAAATGGCATCGAGATTTTTACTGTAAACATGACAAAGTGATGTCAGTGTGTAGTGTGTTATATGAGTCTGACTTCTAATACTAATATTAGAACATGTACACTATTTTTTTGTAAAGTTGGCAAAATTTATTCTTCTTCATAAGCTGGTACATTTCTTGATTATTTCTTATTTGAGTACAGAGTTCAGGTTTTATCCAATAGTTTAAACAGCTGTAAATATTTTAAAAAATAATAAAATTAATGTTTTTGATATCCATCAACATAAATTTTAAAGAAAATAGAATATTATTTTAAGACATGACAAAAATTACAACATCAAAAGGGTTAGAAAAAGCTAAACATTCACTTCCGTCCCCTCCCTTCCGTACTCTTCAACTATATTTCTTTTTAAAAGGTTTACAGTATTCTTCTTCGCTAACACACCGCACATTTCGCAAGTGGGCGAATGTTGGTTAAGTTCAACGTAGCAGAACGTTGCGAAATGGTTTTATCCACCTGCTTGCTTCTAGTTCGAGTTATACTGAATATTTAAACATCTAAATAAATATTGACATATAATATATCTAGTTTATAATGCATCAAAGATGTATCCCAATAATTATTTATAGTCTTTCCCACATCCAGTGAGAATTCCATGAACTTGGAAAAATGAAGAATTATTTGAATATCTGCTTCTACTTCTAACCACTTTGATGTAATTTAGAAGTTGTGGGTTAAGTATTTGAAAATTTGAAATAAAAATAATTAATTAGCTGACTAAAAATTTACATTAGAATTTATTTAATATAATAAATTATTTCAGGATCCTAAACTTGCTATTTGATTTAATTTTAATAAGTTAATTAAAATATTAAATATATACATTTAATGGCTTTAATAATATTATAGGCAATATAGGAATAACGCACGGTCCCCCCTCCCCCTCTCCCTCATATTATGTTGTATACATCAAGTTCTAACGATTTAATTCCCAAAGTCTCCAAATTATCACAAGTGAACGTACGTTTCTAATTATATAATTATATTTCATTCCCTTTCTAACAATTCGATGGCGTATTTTACCTCAAGAAAGCCCTTATCAAAATTTCTGTATAAAAAATCACAAATTGTCTTCCTGCAAAATCGTTTTTTGAAGTGGAGCATACCCAAAGTGCGTAGAAGGAAAAATATCGACTTGCGAATTTGTCGACGGTCGAGCCCTGAATAAAGAGAGAGCAGAAGCCGTAGAACTAGCAGCTAGTTCCTACTCTGCCGACGCGGAGAAGCATCTTGCTTCGATGGCAAAAGTGACTGACAAATTGTTTATTTAATCGTGCTTTTTAAATTCAGAGGGCTATAATTTATTATTTGTATGATGTTTTCTTTCGTTTAGTTGTTGATCTTATCTGACGTAAGGAAGATACATCCGATAATGTTATGTATGTGAAATCTGCTTGACACTACTACAACCGTCTACCACATTGCGATTTTTGTTGATATTTGTTTGATATTTTTTTCCCCATTTAATATATGTGTGTGTTTTTGGTTGGGGCTGACTAATTTTCAAAACCGAAGACCTTAACAGGGCTTAATTGTACCTTTATTTTTTTCAAAAGAAAGGTGAAACATTACTTTTCAATTAATTTGCTTTAGTCAGTTTAGCAAATTTCAAATAAACGACGATTTTTCTTAGGCTTAACTGTTCCGTGCCCCCCACCCCCCACCTCCTTTTCTTAAATTTAAGTTTAAGACTAAGGCGCTTCTTGTTTTCGAATTATTAGCAGCTTCTGTTTGAAAGGAGGGACGCAGACTAGCTCCACTAGTCCATCATTTTTTTTCTTCGAATTTCCAATATCCCTTATACTCCCCAATGAATTTCTTAAAATCATTGCATACTTCTTATTTAAAATGACTTATTTGTCATAAATTACTAAGCGGTGGTACCGGCATCTTATTCTGATGTCACGCCCCTCTTTGTGTGTGTGAGAGAGAAGGGTGACACAAATTGGGGGTGGGGTTGGGGGGGGGGAGATACTAACGATTGATGTATTTTAAAAAGCTTTTTGAGACTGTAAATTAGTGTAAACCAGATCCATTATATCCATTCGACTCAATACATTTTTAAATATCCACATGCGTAAATTAAAAGGGAAGTGATTTGAAAGCTACCGGTTGTGGTATTTTTAAAGTTATTATAAAAAAAACAAACAACAACAACAACAAAAACAACAGTTTAATTAGTTTATACCCCCGCCCCTTTCCCTGTCCAAAAAAAAAAAAAGTAATGTTTTGTCAGCAGTTTGAGACTCACTGTCTGCCGAACGATAACTACGGGATGATTAATTTTCTTTAGAGAAACTGATGATCATGGAACAAAAATGGATTTGATTCCACAGGAATAAAAATGGATTTCATTGCACATAAATAAACATCTCGTTCTTTATCTCTACGATTTCGACGGACTCTACGAGATTTTACTCTCCGCCATGTTTCGATACTTGCAAATGATAAAAAAAGAAATGAGCTATTTATTGATTACCGGTACTGTACTTTGCTAAATTATGTCACATACCGGTATAAAGTAAGAGAGCATGCCATAAGTTATCTTGTAATTGTATCGGTCTCTTGTTACATCAGCGGTTCTCAAATTACGAAGTAACTGGTTCATTGAACCAGGGGAACTCAAGCAAGGGTGTGAGCGGTTAAACCAATTGTTCTTAAACTTGAGTACAACGGTCAGGTTAAACCAGTGACCCTTAAACTTGCTTGTTACTAGATCAACCAGTGATTCTCAAACTGGAGTCTGATCGGTGAATCAACTGTTTTCTAGCTAGGAAGCAACCACGTTAACCAGCAGTTTTTCAACTGCATGAGGAATGAACGGTTAATTTAGGCGTGAGTTCTGAAAACAGCGGTTCTTAATCTAGGGCTTGACATGTTGCGTACTGTTATACTTTTTTTGTGAATTTTAATCTGCTTTAAATTCGGCTCGTTAAATGAACAATACTTACAAAGTACTGAAAATTGGTATACAAAGAATAGCTATACCTAAGCTAGTGATATTAACATATTCAATTTAATTATACTATACATTTTTTTTACAAAGAATACTAAATCAAATAGGCTAGACAATAATAAAATATATAAAGTGAAAAAGTACAATCATCGAATACATATAAATTTACATGAATACAAATATAGAGTCTACACATACAGATTACAATCTTGTAAATATATTTCGTCCCGTAAATGTATAGGGAAAAATAGCAATAATCTCTCACGACTGGAAAAGCTGCCGGCCTATTTATTTGGGAGGGAGTAAAAAAAACCTCCATAAAAGAAATTCTAGAAATAGCACCACCCGACTGCATTATTTAGCACATGTAGAACGTTAACAACCTTATAACAATCAAGGGAGGGTTGGGTTTGGTACAGCGCTACACATTTAATCGGCGACGTCAATGTCAAAACTATTTTTTTATTTTAAAGTGGGAAGAGATGCGACTAACACAACGCTACGCTAAAGTAACCACTAATAATAGGGGAACACACAGGCTGTAACACATTCCATCTTTAAAAAAAAGAGATGAATTTAAATTTGTCTAAAATGGAATTCTTTCTTCCCATTAAAGAACTATTACTAAAATAAAAGAAAATACATTTCTTCAAAACAAATTCGTTCATAAAAATTGCTTAACAACTTACAAGAAAAGCCGTTACATAATTTCAATATACATCAAGAAAAAGTAAATTAAAATCTTTTTCTGTTTAATTTTAATGTCATAGTGATTCATCCAAGTTGTGTGGTATCTCTGATCAACATAGTCCCATTTTAATTCAGTGTGTTTTGGTGACATCCACGTATCTTTAAAAAGTTTTTTTTTTTTTTTTAAAAGTGGGTGGGGTTTGAGAACTGTATGGCCAAACACGAGTTCAAAGTTGCTGAATCCAAGTGATTCTTGAACTGCTTTTCTGTTGGCGAAAAGTAGTATGTTGATTCCTTCACCACAGTCTTTCTCTTGATCGAGGCAGTACGTTCTTATCATGTTCTTTCACGTCTGATGGAATCGCTCAAATGCTTCCTGTGACTCAGGATGATATGCACTCGACAAGCAGTGTTCTATTTATACTTGGTTCATCGCTTGATTGAAAAGCCATAAAGTTGGTTCTTTGGTCAGACTGTAATAAAGACTTTGGAAAACCAAACAATTAAAAAAAAAATTATTCGACAAGGCTTCAACGATGTTCGGAGTCTTGACATTGCGAAGAGGATTCCGCGTTGAAGCGTACATTATTGTCAGCAAGTATTGGTGACCTGATTTCGTCTTTGGCAAAGGTCCAACGCAGTCTATTATCACGCGACTGAAAAGGTTCTTCAAATGCTGTAATGGGTTGGAGAGGAGCTGCTGGTATCTTCTGATTTGGTTTGCCTACTACTAGACAAAATCCGCAGTAATCGATTACATCGTTCTTTATTTTGCACCATAAGAAGTGCAAAGTTATTTTGTGTTAAGTTGTGTTTTTATTCCCATATGGTCTGAACATAGTGAGTCGTGGGCCATGTTCAGTATGTCGTTCCGGAAAGGAGTAGGAACTACTATTTGATGAACTAGGAAAGGAGTAGGAACTACTATTTGATGAACTACATTCCATTCTTCGTTAGCTCCTGTGCCTGGAGGTCGCCATTTTATCATACGTAAGCAATCTTGTAGGTCATAATTAGCATACAAAAAACA